TGTAAGTGCACCCATGTTGTACAATGCCTGCAGAGGTCAGAAGAGGGTGTCGGACACCCTGGAACTGGAGTTATGAACAATTGTTATCCACCATGTGGGTGCTGGGAATTGAACCAAGGTCCTCTGTAAGGGCAGTCAGTGTTGATATTTTAACCCTTGTGTAGAGAGTCCAGGTCATGAGCAGACCTCATTCTGCCTTGTAGTTTCAAAGGTTGCACAGAGCATGTATGCCCAAAGCATATTCAAGCTGTTTCTCTTTTTTAAGAATTATTGTATTTGTAATTATATGTATGTGTGGGTGTGCATATGCACATGAGTGCAGGTGCCTGTAAAGGCCAGACACATTGGATTCCTCTGGAGCTGGAGTTACAGACTGTTGTGAGTTGTCCCAGTGAGTGCTGGGAACCACACTCAGGTCCTCTGCTGCTGGGCCATCTCTCCAGCCAGTCAAGCTGTTTCTTGAAGTTGTTTCTTTGCCTTTGGCTGTTCCTCATGATGCTTCAATGAGCTGCCCCACACATGCATTCCAGAAGAAAGCCACTGGAGAAAGAGTAAGAAGTCAGCTGGATGGGCTTGAAAGAATGTGTGCTGGAATTCAGGGAGCCCCAGTGGGTTGTACTTCAGAAAGCGACCCAGTGTCCTCTGCAGGCCAGAGCACCTGCACTGTGGATTAATCATCATCTCCCCCACACAGGGTATTAAGACTTCAAGAGTCTTCTCAACACCGTGGGTGAAAACTGGCATTGCTATAGGTTCATTTTTCATAACTTTTCTGATATTTATTGGCCATCGAAGCTGCTATTCAGATCTTTGATTCTTTTCAAGTTGCTCTGTCCTTTCCTTATTAATTCATCCTTTGTATGTTAAGGACATGAGCCCCGTGTCTGCTGACATGTTAAGGGGACACACTCTCTCTGGGGATGCGATTCTTTCCACTGTGCATATTGTGGGGCGGGGGTTGTTCTCTAGTTTCCGAGTCTGCCAGCCATTTCATTTCTGGCTTATGAGATGCCGAATCTTGCTAGATGAACTTCTGCCATTCCCGGACAGAAAACACTGGTCCCAGGCATTCTGCTAGATCTTTTATTTGTTATTAAGTCTTTTTTCGTTTGTTATTAAATTGTAGCTCTTTGCTCAGCTTCATGTATTTTGAGTAAGAATTGAGCTTTCTGCGGTCTCCCCAAATGGTGGCAGAGCCTAATAGAGGAATCACAGCTCCCTCTCTAATCTCCCCTAGGAAGGTTCAGAGCTCCTTTGACCTGAGCGTCAAAGGCATCACCATTTCAGTGGACCTCCTGCTGGGCAGCAATCCCTCAGGGAGACCCACCGTCACTACTTCCCAGTGCAACAGCCGCATCCGAGATGTTGACTTGGACATATCTGGAAAACTGGGGTGAGTCATTGCAGGGACCCTGGCAGCTTGACCCTGAGTGTGGCCCTCAGGGGTTATGAGAACAGTCTGGATGCTGGTGGAATGCTCAGCATACCATGGGTACTTGGGGACCATCCTTTGGAAGACCCTATTGGGACAGACAGGCACAAACTGAAGCCAGGAGTGTGGAACTGTCAACGCCTAGGAAACCTTTGTAAAGGGAAGAAGATTTGGCTAGTGAAGGAATGCACAAGCTTTGACTGAAGTTGTAAAAACAGTTGAAGTCCACAGTCAAGTCATTCTGTCTCCGAGTCTCTGTTCCCTTGGTTAAAAAATAGGACTCTCCAGCTCCAACCCCAAACCCACTGATCTTGCCAGATACAAAAGGAGACTGGAGCCAGCCACATTGGGCCACATCCAGGCTCTGGGTTCTAGGGCTCAGGATAGTGTGGACCTGGCTCTCCCCATCCCCACTGTCCCTACACTCAGTGGCAAACAGCTGACTGTGCACTGTGTCCCCTGCCCAGGTGGCTGCTGGAACTTTTCCAAAACCAGATCGAGTCCAAGTTCCGAAGAATTCTGGAGAGTAGGGTAAGATAAAGGCCACTGGGAAGGAAGGGGGTCTTCAAGGGCCTCGGCCCCTAAGCAGGCTGTGGGGCTGGTTAGACACACCTGGGCCACAGAGCCAGCCTGAGGCAGAGCAGTGGCAACACTCCAGTCTCTGGACTCAGGCCCATCTGGTGCCTGGCCAAAGTAAAATGGAGTGTGGAGGGCAGAGACTCCAGCCCTCCCTGCCTGGTCTTGTTCACTGTTCCCCATGTCTGGGACCAAACTTCCAAAAGAAAGTCATCACCTAGGTGCCTGCAGAGACCTGGCAGATGCCGGGCCAGGTGGGAACTGAGCAAACTCATGAGCACTCGCCCTGGCTGCAGAACCCAGGGATACCGTGTCTGATTTTCTCGTTTAAAAAATAATGTAAAATCTCCAGATTTTTATAAGATTTGGCTGAAACAAAGACATTGTATTTCATGTTAAGGTTTATTTCCTACAAACACCCCTTCACCCCCAAATCTCATTTCTGAGGTATTGCACTTTTGGAACTGTGTCTGTAACACTGATTCTGTCGAAAGGGAGAAAATAAGGGAAGAGGAATGAGGAAAA